TAAATTCTCGCACAACTGTCTAGTCTCGCTTTGATACCTATGAACTTATATGGAGGTGCGCACACTCTTTTTTTTTGTGAAACCATACAGTTGAATTGGCTGCGAAACAATCGACAATCGCACAACATTTGCGCGATAATTCAGTCAATGGTGTGCGCCCGCTTTAAACGTTACGCTTTGATATTTCGTTACGAATTTTTAATATCGCTTGTTAAATAACGTCAGAAATTAACAACCATAATACTTTTTATGCTCAGTGATTTAGTTATAGAAAAAGTCGTGTGTAAAATCTACCAGACCATTTCAATGTAGAACGGAATAACAATACACCATTAAAAGTATATCAATTTACCATTCTAAAAATACTTTGCAACTTAGTTGAGAAAAAAATATTAATTTATATAAATGAATTCGAAAAATTGCCGCACTCAGAGTTAAATAGTTACATAAAGAGAAATCAAAATCAAACTAAAGAACCCCTTAGTAATAACTTAATAGTTCCGGCATTTAATCACCTATATTTTTTACTTATGTATAATATTCACATTACGATGATACCAAGATAATTATTAAAACAAGCTTTCGCCCGCAACTCCGTTTGCGTGAGATTAAAAAAAAAACGGACTAGCCTTAGTGTTCTTCCGGACTATCCTCTACATCTATGCCAAATTTCATCGAAATCCATTCACCCGTTAAGGCTACAAACTCTAACAAACATCCATCCATCTAAACTTTCACATTTATAATATTAGTAAGAAGTAAGAAATATTTATGAAAGTGCACTACACACTGGAAAGCACGAGTCTTCTGTGAATTTTAATTTTTTAAACGCTTCAAACGCTAAATTCCCTTTAAGGTATTTCCAACAGAGCACATATTTACCATTACGTACGTTACATTTCTCGACTCCGGAGTCTCATACTCTGTTCAACCATGCATATCGTCTACGAATTGCAAATAGACTCACCTTTTTTATAATAGTCTTGATTTAATTGGACATTTTTTTAGATTTAAAATAATTACTTTGTTTCTCGTTATATCTAGGGCAATTAACCTTGATATTCGATATGGTCGCTTCGTAAAAATTACGTACCGTGAATTTTACGTACATTATGAGTTAGGATTGTAATAGTTTAGAAATTCATAATTAACAACTTAAGTTTAGATAATTAAGTTAATGCAGGTGAATATCTGGTTATACGGGCCGGAAAGCACCGTAGGGCTCATTATGGGAGCTTATTCAATTTAATACACAGCTTCATAGAACGTACGTTTATTAAGACTTTAAAAGGTATAAACAGGAATTACGATCATTACGATGTTGTCATTTTATGTTTATTATCAATATTCCAAGTCACATACAATTTGCAATGGCGTATTTTTCACTTGAATAGGTGTATTAGGCAAAAACCTTCCTTAACCATTATTATGAAACCACTTATTATTCTCTAACCGGATACTTTTTTGTTTTTTACCTAACTTTAAGCTTTCATGAGGCAGGGTAAAATTTTTTATGAATAAATAAAAAAATTTCTTAGTTAAATAACTACAAATAATTTACGAAATATAGTGAATTCACATATCCGCGTTTTTCGTAATAAGAATACGCATTCCTACTAATTTTAAACAAAAAAAAGACACTTATGCAACCATACCTGGCTACCTTTGTGGATATTTTGTCATTGCATAATCTTTTAAGTCTCTTCACTTAACACGCAATGTTATGTTAAGTAGATTTTAACGAGCTAATGTTTATCTATAGAAAAAAGAAGGTTCGAATCCGTCACGCTCCAGAGCGCTCTGTGAATAGCGTGATTTTTCCCATCTGGAAGTTATTGACCGCAACGCTTGCCATATCTAGAATTGTATTTTT